AGCAGAAAAAAAATACATCATTAGACATGATTGAGAGGAAAATGCTTAGTAATGCCACAAGTGAGTATCTAATGTATATGGTAATATTTAAATTCCATGAAAACAATCTCCATCTTTGGCCATACAACATTGACAATTTAAACAGTGTGCTTCCAAGATGTCAGTAATGCATCTTTCCCATTACTATTTATTCACAGTTTATCAAGACCATCACTGCTATATTAGAACACAATACATGCATGCTCTCTGCTGCTTGCATCTCATGCTTCAAGCTACATACATATCGTCCTTATATAATCAGGGAACAACATTACCTCAAATTAGTTTTGAATCGATTTAATACCACTACTCATGCAAATAATATTCATCTTTTCTACTTGTGAAAACATGAAGCGAACAGATAAAAACAGAACACTAATACTTTCACAGGAAAAAAAAGCAGTATAACCAAAACACATCCCAGCTTTCTTGCCATTATGGGAATAGAACCAATAGGCCTTTTCCATCACCTTCCCCGACTGAATATAAGTTTGAATATAAGCTTCCTAGCAGTTTTATCATTAGTTCCATCTTAAGACCTGATCAGCAAAGCTAGCCTGAAATGTTGAAAATGAGTGTTTTCCAAATTCATTGTTCAGTAAAATCACGTCAAGAATCATATACTAATGTGCAGTCCTTCTAGAAGCATATGAATGGTCTACCTATGAGTGAACAATCATTTCAGCAGAGAACACTTGTCTTTGAATTAACAGTTAATTGTTATAACAGATTTGTTTCATGTCAACCACTGGGAGAAGTACGTACTCAGGTATACCTACAGTGATACATCATACATCAGAAGGCTTTAAACAAGCTTGCACAAATGCTTCCTTCCCTTGCAATGCCAGGATACTTTAACAATCATTAGAACACATCACAACAATGTTTCTTAGATAAATTCATTCATTCCATCGTGAACAAAGTAAACGTACAGGTTTCTTTTCCAGAGGTTATTTTTCTCTCAAATTTTTCCAGTGATTGAAAGGACAGACACTGTCAGACTAAGTTTGCAGAGGGAAGCTGAGATAAAAAGACACAGTATCCTCATAAGAACAATTTGTATAAAACTTTACGCTCTTCAGAAGTTGAAGCAAACTTAAGCAGTTGCAATGTAAATTGTTCATAGTATGTACTGCTACATGCACTTCAAGCTGAACAGATTCACTAAGAACGGAATTTTCGACACACAAGTAGAAACTGCATACGAAGAATGAAAACGATGCCACTTATAACCAAGCATAAAATTATTCTCACTCAGTATTTGTAATAACATTCCCAAAATCCTTTCAAGTGAATTTTATATTTTATTGTCATCAGATAACCGCATGTTTTACAGCATAGTCACACACTGTATTTTGCTAGTCACAAACACATTGCCTTACATAATGATCTGCATAATTTCTGCTCTATACTACAAAGCCTATGACTGAATACAAAAAAGTTTTACAAAAGAAACTGTTTTAAAGACTACAGTAACAATAAAACCGTTTCCAGATAACAGCTAAAATTATAAAGGCATATCACTGTATATGTTTACTGGAATTTCTTAACAGCAAGGAATGAAGTAAGTTTTAGTATCTGCGACGCTTGTTAGGTCCTTCAAAGTTGCCCCCTGGGTTTCCTCTACCAAAGCCACCAGGTCCACCACTCACGGTACCTACACCACTCATGGGCGGCTGAGGAGTTTCGGAGCCCGTTCTACTAACCAGAGGTGAGCCCATCTGTGATGGACCTCCTTGAGGGAATCTCTCATTATGCTAAAACAAGTCCATTTGGAACATGCCAAATGTAAGTTAAACAAAAGTGATGTAAGTTACACAAGTGATGTTGTCAGGAAGTTCAGCAGATAGTCCAGCAGAATCAGGATCACACATAGAGGGAAGAAAGGAGCAATTCAATTAGTTATTATCAAAAAGGATGTGGAAATCAGAGACTGCTAATGTTATGCTCTGACTTCGTAAATTCTTAAGTTTTTAATTAAGACCAACTCCGGTGCTCAACACAAAGCAGTAATATATTCCACGTAACAGAAGAGAGTGAACAGTAATTTTATACCCTAGTCTTCTTTTGCCTTATACACTAATCACAGTACTTCTCTATCAAAGAAGTTAAGCACATAAACATTGTTAAACTAGAAAAAGTTCAACTTTTTTTTTTATTATTATTTCTAGAGACTACAGTTTCATTCTTCTAATAGTGAAACAATCTTAGAACTTACATATCCACCTATTTGTAGTTTCGTCCACATGACCTGGAGTTAGCCTTTCATAATGAACCTTAGTAATCTTTAAATGGACTTTCAAAGCCCAAATCAAATACACTAGTTATAAAATGCATAGACTATGCTTCATTCAAAAATAAAGTATCATCTGAAATATGAATAAAAGATGAAAATCCAGTTAATGTTCCTTGTGTAACTTAGCTCCTTACCCAACATTAATAAAGATACACGTACTTAGGTTTATTCGGCTACAGCAATAAAGGCTTGAAACAGAAAACATGCATCTGAATACTTATAGTTCACCATTTAAGTGTTTAAAAACAGAATTCTACATAATGAAGTATAAAACATTACCTCAGCATAAGACAAACCATTAAACACATAGATGTATGGTACAAACAGATTTTGAAATAACTCTTCAGCCACTGAGGACAGTTACACTTTCAGAAGAAATTCCTCTGAACAGAGAGCCATACAACAGCCCGGGGAATGAGAGTTCAAAAAGAGCTCTAATAACTACCACTTTATTTATATGCCTGAAACAGAATAATTCTTCCGAAAGTCTAACTCCAGTAGTAATAGTAGGGCTCAAGAGTTCCAAAGGCACTTAAATGATAAACACGGATTGGTATCTATATCGAAGAAATTTTACATAACTTAGATCATGGTTGTGCATATATATATATATATATATATATATATGCATTACTTAAAAGCTCATCAAAAATTATTTCAATAGCTGCATAAAGATCTGCTAATGTCCCAAATTAGCCTAAAATCTACAGCACTATTTGGAATTTGTTTAGAAAAGTATCTTAAATGAATACAGCTTGGTAGCAACAGTTATGAAATTCAACACATGCTTATCACATACTCATGGTCATATTTACCATTTCATTGTTAGACAAAACTCTTTCTAACAAGGAGAACTCAAACCAGCTAAAGAGAAAACGACACTAATTACCTACCTACAATAAAGTATAAGGGAAAAAGCTATTTATAATCATTATGTTCAAAGATATTTTAAAGGATGGCAGTAGAACAACAAGAAAAAAAATCTACTTAACAAAATTCAAAGTCTAATTTAAAAATGAAAATTACACTTCTGGTCTACAAATCGTATTCTCTGTTTCTCTCCAGAGAAATGGAAAACAACTCTCACAGCACCTCAGGGGACAGAGCTCAGACAAATCTCTGAAGCGTCTTTCCAATGCCAACAGAAGGACATACCCTGCTGCAGGCATCTGTCACCCAGACTAAAAGCCCTTAAAGTCCAAAATGAAAGGGCATCTCATTTGTCCTTCAGTAACACATAGAAGAAAATGAAAACTAACTGCTTCATATTTAGTCTGTATTTTGTAAAGCCTATAAATGCCCTTCCCTTCATTTTCATAACTGGAATGACCTTGTAGAAAAACAACAATTTCAGACAGATAACGTGATTCGTTACTCCAGGTTTTTTTTCCCCTCACACCTTTTCAGCATCTATATAACCACAAAATAATGTTCCAGAGGTGACTGGTCAGTAACACAGGAGTTTCCAGTAAAAGCATCTCTGCCAATAGTATTCTTTGAAGAATGCGACCTGTCCCCCATCCCTGTGAGAAGTTATGGAACTGATAAAATGAGCCCATCATATGATATGAAGCACAACCAACTCCTCTCACTGGGAAAGAACAGACTTATACATTTTGTACTCAAAATATCATTTTCCCTTAAGGAACAAAGGATTTTGTCACAACTTCATTCTATGGATACCTCAGTCACAGACTGATACCATTTAGAAGGCATACATAAACTACAGCCACCAAATGCTTCAGTGTTCCAATGAAATTATAATGGAATCACTGTTGTACTTCATACTTCTTTATAACACACCACCACTAGAACATCTCAAGTCTCCATTTACAGAAAAATACTTAAATGTGAGATCTAAAATGACACGGTTGTTTCTCTACATAAGACATTACAGCTAGGAAAAGTGACTGCCTATAAGACCAGAGCAAAATTAGCTAGTGCTCTAATTGCAGCCCAATGGCATATCTGCTCTTGATAAAAGAAATCCAGATGCCTGTCCTACACTCATAGCATCTTCAGCAACTGGTCAATTCTACTTTCCTGCACTGACATGACAGTTATGCCTAGCAGCTGTTGCATACTTATTTTCCAAGTGATTACTGTCAAACTTATGCTTTCAACACCACTAGGAAGAAAGTAGAAAATACTACGGTCACATTAAAAAATTGAGTAGTTTACACAAAGATATCTTCACACTATATACACAGTTTCCAGTATTTATTTATTTATTTTTTTTAAAAAAAGCTGGTAATGCAATCTTGTTTTATAAAAGAAAACAAAAAAAAAAAAACAGCAGAAGCCTAATTTTACAGATTACTCAGGTACGCGGATGCTTCTTCACATCTAATTTCCCTTTATCACGCTTTTTGAGGGCAGGTTATACACACTAAGTTTTACCACAAATACTGTGCAATCTAACCTCGATTTTACTGCTTACTGATCAAAAAATTTCCTCCTCACCTGAAGAAACAGAAATTTTCCTAATTCTATTTTAATACTAAATATTTTCCTTCTGCAATGTATTTCAGTGAACAAGTCTATCAATTACTTTTAACAAAGTCAAAACTTTTAACGTGGTCTTAGTGTGAAAATATCTTTGGTAATAAAAACGTGTCATGAGACATGACAGCTATTCAAAGTAATTAAATTTGTGATACATTACCACTGTTCCATTATCTGGCATCATTGGTGTTCCCATATTTGCAGCTCCTTCTGGTCCCATGGAAGGACCAGGACCCATTGCAGGGCCAGGCAAAGTTCCTCTGTTGTTCATATTCATACCCATCATTGGAGGAGGGCCTTGGTTACCAGCAGGTGCTGGGCTAAACGCATCTATGCAAAACAATCTACACTTAGAGCTGTCCTATCTGAATTTTACAAAATAAACAAACAATTTATAATATTTTAAAACCCAAATGTACCAGACTTCCAATACATGAAATATAAAAAAATACGTATTCTTTGGGACTGTACATTTATCTCAATCATCTGCTTTTAAACAGATTAATTTTGTATTACATCATCTGCCTTCTGTAGCTGAGAAGCCTAAACTTTGCAGCTAAATATAGCTGTACTGTTTCCATGCAGAACATGAAGTGTTCACATAGCATATATATGCACTGTGCACTCTACATTTAGAAAAAAATCCCAAGTGATTTTGCAGTAATTGACACCAATAGGCAACTTGGCTCTTCAAGGATTACTGTATTAAATATAGATTCGCAAAAACTGTTCTGTCAGCATTAATGTTGCATTAATGTTACTGGTAGCTGTTAAAATAATATACTGTAACATCATATAAAAGCAATAGCAATGACGATACTCAACTTTATAATGAGTTATCAGCCACAAAACATGAAGAAATATAGTAAAAATACAAAAAAAAATTTCTTGGTGTTAAAAGTTATAGATGAAAACTTCTCCAAAACTGTGATTCACATCACTTAAGAACTTCTTTCAAAGAGATTATTTAGCTATAATATTGAGTTACAAGACACCACTCTGCCAGCATCAGCTTTTGCTATAAGAAAGATCAGATTATATAAATCATTTATATCTGCTATTACGACCTGTCATCAACTCTAAGACTCATGGTGATGCAACTTTTTCCCCCCCCACAATAACACACACTATTCAACCAGAAGCCTGCATCCAAAATTTCACAAAGAAAGAAAACACGTCTTTGGAATCTAGCATATGTTTCAAGTCCTGGCAATACGCAAGGAGAAAAAAAAACTGTCAAGAAATTAAGACATGTTGCCAGACTAAAATACAACATTTTTATTCCAACATACCAACCTCTCACCTCTCATAATTTTAGTAATATACACGTTCATCATTATACACAGTTCATTCAGTGCAAATATAGTACTCTGATTTTCTGCATGTATTAAAATTGCATATTTATTATCAGTATTGAGCACCCATCCCATCTCAGCAGTCAGAGAAATCACCACATTAAGATATTGTTGCTAAAACTTAAGACTTAGGCAACTGCAAGCTGCTTAGGAAGAACAATCTAAGCAATGCAGCAGTGCATATGAAGGTTATCAAAAGCTAGAGAGAAAAACCTTGTAATTTTAAAAGCAGTACTTTCCTAAGCTTAGTGCTGACACTCCAAGACTTCTCCCTACAGCATGAAGCCAAAATAAAGGCATGTATAATTTGGATACTTCTTATCAACCCACAAACTTATCATTTCGCAAGTAAAAGATTGTGCTATAATCCAAGAAAAAATTATAGCAGAAAATCTCATGAAACTGTTCTTGAATGATTGACATTGAAGAATTAAATGTAGAAGGAAAAGGAGGAATTTAAATTGACAAAATGAGGACAAACCTTTATTTTTAAAGGCTAATCATATCCTATATGACTGTAATGATGGCATTGCTCAGCACAACTCAAACCAGTCAATGCTCAATGACCTGTTAAAGCCTGTTTACCAGTATGCTCATTAAGCTTAGCCAGACTGCCACAGATGCATATTGTTCAGTCATTCTTCAACAGCAATGAGTTCTTACCCTACATAGCCATTGTCCCCTAGATTTTCAAGAACCATGTAGATGTGGCACTGAGGGACATGGTTTAGTGAGCATGGGTGACTGGCTGGAAGTTGGAATAGATAATCTTAGTGGTCTTCTCCAACCTTATGATGCTATGATTCTTTACCATACAAATGCATGCACGCTTCCTCTAAAATAACCCATGCTAGGAAGCCTCTCTGTACTAGTAAGCCAATTTCAGCCAGCTATGATAGAAGGAAGGTAGCTGGGGAGCATAAGAGGCCACAAAAGCTTCTTCTCTATACCTCAGAAAAGCTCTCTAACAAATCTTAAGAGCCAATCGCTTAACTGCTAATTCTTTTCAGAGGCACATTAATGTTGGCAGTTTATTCGCTGGACACAGTATAGAAACAGACAGAAAGCAGTCTATCGAGCTCATGCCACAGCAGAGACTAATGCACATCTCTGAGCACGGCTGAAAAAATGTATTTTATGTGTCCAAAACGTACATGCCAAGGTCTGGCACAGTAGGCAATAAATCAGTAACTCTCATCAATCCAGAGGTAGTTCCTGAAATCAATTTTTCCCAGCTTAGATGAATATTTATTAGCTACCTGTAGCATCACAGTTACAGCTAAGTGCTATGATATGGTATTATGGAGTCTCTCAGACTTGCTAAAGATAATATAAAAGTGACTGGTTAGCAAATGTCAGTCTATCACTAGTTAAATCCATCTCAGAGGTGTCTAGCTTTCAAATACTGCTGTCATATAGGTTTCCCATTACTGAAGATACTTCAGCTCCCCACATCATGAAAAGTCACAAGTGGCACATGTAAAAACCAGTTTAAAACTACAATTCCAGTATAAATGTTGTGAGAAAGTATGCTAGCATCAGTAATTAAAGACCTACTATTTAAAGGTTTAAATTCTGTTTTGTTTTGGTTTTTTTCCCCCCTTTCTTGTTAATTTTATGGAGGTTCCTGGGATTTTTGGGTTATTTTTTTGAGTGGTGGTAATGTTGTTCACGGCCAGGGAAAAAAAACCCTCTACCAGGAGTTAACCTAAAATTCAGATACTGTGGAGAGAAGCACTATTTTTACCTATTCAGAATACTTTTCCCTTTCTAAAATTGGGGTTAGCTGTTACAATTGTTTATTCTGAAACCACACACTTATTTCTAGATTTTTTTTTTCCTTTCTACAAGTATATCTTGTGGAAACTGCTAATGCTGGTGGGCAAGATGCACAATATCAATACTCAGAATGCCTCTTTAATTGAGATTTTCAAGAATCTGCTAAACCAATAAGCAAAATTTTAACTACAAAATTAGAAAGTCATCAGTTTATGCTTCAGGTTACTACTTCAAAGAAACTTGATCTTGACATTGTCTTCCTTTAGAATTAATTCTAAAGTTCATCATCTGCAAATGAATAAGCCAGTTTCCATTTTGAAGTTATAAATGTTTCAGTGAATACAAGTGGTGAATAATGTATTTTAAAATGGAGACTGAGCAAGTACATTCATCTATTAACCAATTCACATTACTCTGAGTTAAACCACAGCATTTCATAAGTTTTGTACACGCATTCAAATTTAATATAGAAATACAGGAAAAATGATAACTTAAGTGTTTTTTAAGTTAATATTAGTCAAGAAGATTCCTAAAGATATTTTAAAATTAATATTCTATATTTCAGTCTTGTTTAAAAGCAGATATTCCAGTTGAGTAATATTCCAAGCTGTTTCAAGTCTGAGCGTACAAAGGCAAATACTCATTCTTAAGCCAGTACTCTTGTAAATTTCAAAGCTTTTAGCAGTGACAATAGTTTAAGCCACAAAAGCATAGTGAGAATTACTTGCAAATACAGATTCGCAATAAATTTACAGGGCACAATTATTAAACTTTTGTCAAGAACTGACCTACTTTAAGTACTGCATCATTTCACTGCGCAGTTACAGTTCCAATTGTTCTCATCCCTCTAGAAGAGCACCAAACACTTTTGAAACAGACAATTCCTGTCTTGCATTGCATAATTTCTAGAGTATTATCTTTCCTTGCCTCTTGGTTTCTCTCACCTTGCACACAGCTTTTTTGTCCCAGGGGTATTTAAAACACATCAACTGGAAATAAAAAAGCTGTTTGTAAGGAAATCAATTTTTTGTTTCCTATTTCGCAATACTGTTTACTCCATTTTACCAGTAGTTGCCCCTAATGAATTACACTTGAGTAACATGTACAGTCCCAAAGAAAAAGATTTTACATTACAGAAGCCTTTTTCCTTCAGATCCCTACCTCCCATGTTAATTGCTCCACGAGGACCCATATCACCCATTCTCATTTCCTGTTCTCTCTGTAAGTAAACATAATTTTCATGATCAACCTATCATTATTAGAATTGAAAACATTCCCATTTATTCAATAAAAATGAAAAATGTCACGGTTTTACAGTTTCCATTAATTATGAAAATGTACATGGGATAAAGTTAAATATATTCCTCTACTTGTATAAAATCAAATGTAGAAGTTCAACTTCACAATACAGAATAATTGTGATGTTTAACCTTTAGTCTTATAAAACAAGTTTCTCTTATTAAATGCAATCTTCAGCTCCCAAAAAGTTAAATAATCAACTGCAAATGACTGCAACTTCAGTTGATGTTCCTCATTAACTAGCGATACAAACTGTCAATGAAGGTCCCATTACATTGTTGCCTAAAGGCCATTGTTCAATAATACAATTAAATCTGTCTTTACAGCTTAAACCAACTGCTTTAGTGGAAACCAAGGTCTGATGTGTTACATTATGGTAAGCAAATTCAACCTGCCAATCCTACTTTGCTCAAATAGTTTTGACTTAACTAAGCGATGGTACAACTTTTTTGCCTCAGTTCAGAAACTAGCACAGAAATGTAGTATTAACGTAAACAGTATAACATGCATTTAAACTAAACAGAGAAATAAGTGAAATGGATTCTGATTCAACCGATGCTCAGCCATCCAACATCTAAGAAGTTCTGACACTACTGATCACGGACCATGTCCTGCTGTGAAACAACATGCAAAGATCATTACTTCGAGAAAAAGTTCACCTATCACAGATTGCAAGAGATGCTGGTATCACAGTTCATATCAAAAAGACGAAGAAGGAAATTCACAGTTCATGAAAAACAATAAACTTACACCAAAGAAATACATTCTCATGAATGTTCTGGAAGAAACATTAAAATGTATTCTGCCCTCAAGTGAATATACATGCATCTTGAGAATAAATACAAATAATTTACCTGATTCTGAACATCATTCCTCTTAGGATTTACAAATTTAGACACTCTGTAAATAACTTTATTATCTTAAGCGATTGAGCCAGCATGCTAAAAGCCATTTTTAACTGAATATTTGTGATTTCAAAATGCATTCATGATAGCATTTTTAATATAAAATGACAATTTTGAAAGGGATAAGACTTTGAGTGGTCATGAAGAAAATAAGGCCTTGTAACTAAAAGATAAAGCCAGGTTTCCAGGCCCTGCTACAAAAGACTGGTTGATGAGCAAGATTTCTTCTGACTCTAGAACCCACATTACATTTCTGTTATAGAAGAACATGCAACTATTTTGTCAGATCTTTCAGAGTAATGTTAACCAACATTTTAATACATCATCATCTGTTCAATTTGGATCAATGTATGTAGTTGCAAAATGAGCATACAATCTTGTTGATAAGAGCCTACTATTAAACCTCAGCTCTGAGAAACAAAGCAGCATATTCCATCCTATCAATCCCTCACCCAGCATAGTAGATATCATGGCTAAGGTTTCTGTGAATCAGACCATACATGCCATAAATGCATGCCCAGATGTCTCCTTATGAACAAAAACTTTGCTTCTTCGTAGTTTTAAAAACTATAAACAGCTACAAATGCACAGCATTTTGAATTACTGCATGTAATCTAATTTGGGAGGCTTCCAACTCTTGCAGTATCAAATCAGGAGCGATGCCTTTGCAAGCTGTAAGGGTTTTTTTGCTTATTTGTAATTTGAAATGCGTCATACAATGCAGAGCCAAATACAAAGGCAATTACATGAGAACTTTCAAGTACAGAGCTACAAAATTACTGCTTCCTAGAAATAAGCAGGTTTTTTTTCCTGAGAAAGACAGAGGGCAAACTACATAATACACACTACACTTCAACCCAATAAACTACTGTTTTTTCTCAGCTTTAAATTGTACAAGCCTTTAGTTAACAGTCAGTATAACAGAAGAGGAAAGAAGGGTAGGACTGATACCCATATTTCATTTTGTTTTGTATTTAAGTCTGTTGCTAATGTTTACAATAAAGTTATTTATCATTTTGCAGCTTTAGCAATGAATTTCTACTATATAAAAATGTTTCTGGTGTAGACTTCAGACACATGAACTTAGAATCTCTATCTGCTGATCTATGTAATTCAAAGAAATATTATTCCTATTGTTTTATGCTTACAATTTGTGGCATTCTTGTGTGTTTTCGTAACGGGGACATGAATTACACAGCTAACACAAATTTAAAACAGTTAAAGTAAATCCCCTATCAAGAGATACTCAGCATTAACTGACAGTGTATATCATGAAAGTGATTAAATGCTTGACATATTAAATATAAAAACTTCTACTTAATTTACCACAGCTTTTACTCAAAGGAATCCAGATACAGTCCAACCCCACAAAAATTGTGAACCAACAGATTTTTACTATGCAAGTATGAAAAAAGAGTACAGGTAAATCTGACTGACTATTCCACATCATTTATTTGAAACACTGCAAAGAAAAGAATATCAGCAGACAGTTCTGATAGAGCAGCTGAATCGCTGCTGGCTGATTCTGTTGAACACAGTGGTAATGAGGTTGCCTTTTAAGGGCTTCTCTTCCTCACTATGTGACTACCCACTGTCCTGTTGAGCAACAGCCTGCTTCAGGCCCTCCTTGAAGCCACCCCTAACCATCTATTAGAGGGAGGTAAAATTCAGCAGCAAGAGGATTTTTGCTAGTGAAATACACAGGCAAGTTGTTAAGCTCCGAAGTCAGTTGGTACCTGGAAAAAACAACTTAAACTGCAAGAGAACAAGAACAAATGATGACGTGCAGTTACAGGGGAGACAAAAAAAAAAAAATCTCTAAGGCAACAGTTGAGTAGTGATGAACAACAATTTGAGAAGCTCCTTTTTCAAAAAAAGAAAGGATGCAAACAATGAATAATATCCTATTTTCAATTTACAATTCTTCCTACAAGTCAGAAGACTTCCAATCCTGTTGAATGACTTTCATAAGATATTTCACAACTCACTAACACAAATAAATCTAAAGGGCCTGATTTATCCAAACATTTTGCTTTCAGAAAAAACCTATGATGACAACTAGCAATAGCACTATGCCTGCTAATCACTCCAGGTGCGAGCATTAAAAATTTTATTTCCTCACATTTTCAACTCCTTCTAATGTTAGCTGTAGAAATCAAATATACAAAAAAAATTGAACAGTGTTTTCAAATTGCATATATATTGTGTTTATAGTACAGTACAGGTTCCCCCTGCTTCAAATACTACAATCAATATTTCTCAAGCACTGTACTGTTATCACATACCATGTTCTTGCACCCTCATCTCCACTGATAGTAGTCTTAAGCACGTAGAAAATTGCCAAGATAATTTTCAGGTTTTTAAAAGATATTAGTATGTTCTTAAGCACTCTATGAAACCATGAAATTAACAGTTTTGAACAGATAGTTTAGAAGAGACAGAGGAGACCATACCAGATATACATCATCATAAATATCAAGAAAGTAAATCATACTGTTTTCTTCAAGTATCAGTGGCCAGAAGCTTCACAATTCACATACCACTACTCACCTTTCAGCTACAGAATAGTCACCAAAGCAACAGGACACAGCAACAAAACAATACCTTATAAAAAAATACCCCATCAACTCAAGTTTGAGCATTAAGAAATATTAACATTAACCGAGTTCTACATATAAAACAAAATATGACTCACGCAAATGTTCATACTTATCTGTTTTCAATGAACTCAACTCCCTTACAGACTTTACAGCAGACAAACTGGGTAAGACATTTCTCAGCCTCAGTGTAAATCATTACTTTCTTCAAAAGTTTCTTTTTCTTTCATTAAATTCTGCCTAGTTTTTTAAAAAAATTCCATTGGTCTCTACAGGAAGCCTAAGTAATTTTGGTGTAATCTTCCTCCATCCTCACACAAGATCATTTATACAAAGCCATCTATATTTTAAATAGAGACTACTTAAGCAGTTAACATCACTGATTAGGCACTCAAAAATAAGAGTACATGGGATACTTCTGACTACAAATTGTTCCCCTCACAATATTCTACCATTTCAATCCAGTGTTTCCAATTTTCAACTCACTAGAAGTTATGCTGCCAGTGAAGAGCTGAAGAAAAGCCTTCTGCCTAACCTCTTCTGACAGCCTTTCCCTCTTAGATTTTCTCCATCAAAACCTACACATAAGATTCTGAAAGTTATAATATTACAAAATATTTCACTTTATTCTGTCACATGAAAATACCAGTTTTATTTAAAAATGCAAGATCTTCTTATACTCCTGACCAATGTTAAATCCAGAGCTACTCACTCCTCCAAGGATCTTGCTCAGCCCAAACAATAATTCCGTGAATGACAGCTCCCACTCAGGAAAGTTTTAAAAAGATCCCTTACATTATGTAAAATTATGCATACAAATGCATTAAACTAGATAAAGTAAATGTAGCCTTAAAACATACATTATATGTGAATGGTTTAATAAAATCAGGTTTCATAAGTTACAAATTGGACTGGGTCATTGCAAAAAAAAAAAAAAAACAAAAAAAAAACCAACACCGCATCAAGCCTAGAACAGGCAGTTTCTTCCTCAGGGATTTAAGTAATGACCAGTTGACTGAAATGACTCACTAAATGATTAAAGAATCATGTCAGCAAAAACAAACAAACAAACAAACAAACAAAAAAACAGTAAAAAAACATCACATGAAATATGTGCAAATGTTGGAAAAATATTCCTAATTAAAGCAAAAATTATTTGGCTGTTCACAAAAAAAAAACAAAAAAAAAACATTTCCCTTATGAAAAAAAGACGCATGATTAGTCCAGCACACTCAGTTCACTGCAGACAGTTCTCAGCACCTGAACACCACAGAATAAAAAAGTACTTGAAGTCAAAAATATTTTCTGCTATTTAAGACGAAACTGTTCTCTAAGAAACACACATTTTAAGCAACATTTTAAAATCACTTCCCATCTAAACATTAGTCAGATGTACTGAATACTAGATTTACTACTAA